TACACAAAACGTGACAATAAATAGTGAATTACATTATCGTCTTCGATGTGATGTCCGTCAGCGGCGGTCACCTGTGAGGGCACCTCTTCGGGACTGGGGGTCGCAGATATGACCTAATGGTGACAATGGGATCAATTAGTGAATGTGGAGGTGAGAGGGGGTGTCGGGAAGGGTATAGGGGTTGGGATCAAGTGACCAGAGATGTGAGCAGTGGATGGTGTGATGGTATACCTCATTATCCTTATTGGTCTGACTCCAGGGCACCACCAGATTAGCCAAAGGCATCACTTAATCCAATCAATCGCTTATTAAACACAAAGTTATTATGATTTTTATTGTGAATTATTATAATTTGTTTTATATGTGAATGAATTGTAAACACAATTATATTATAACTGATTATTGATTACAACTATAATTGGATTGTATTTTGAGTACAATTTGTAGATTTGTTGCAAACTTTAGTATTTATTGTATTGAGTGTTGTATTGAATAACTCAACCATTTGTTGATTGAATCCATAATTGTATTGAAAACATACAATCAGTTTAATAATGAATTCAATAATTATATTATTTATAAAAATGGAAGAAATGTTTGAATAAAATATTCGAAACAAATGTTTGGATCAAAAGTGGAGTCAAAGTAAACCATAAAATGATATCAAATCTAATGATTACATAAAAATGTCATAAAAGGCTGTCATATACTCAACACTATGTTTGTGTTATTCATTCATATATAACGTACTCTTGTTATACATTCACGCATATTGTGACCCCTTTTCCGCTATTTATTTGCTTTTAATTTAATTAGATTTTAGTTTTTGTTTTTTTTTAAATTTTGTGATTTAAAAATTTAATTTAATTTCACTCTCAGATTAACACTTCAATTAATTTTGACGCATAATTAATAGCAATATTCGTGTATTTTTCACTTTTAACACAATTATATGCATGATATGTCAAACTCTCCTATAATAGTGAAATGCATTTGATTTTTATACGCTATTCAATGCATTCATTATTTGATTAATATTCTGGTGGTTTGAAAAGTCAATAATTAAACATTAATTAATCATTTAATTATTTGCATTTCATTTGATATATGCTATGATTTTATTGAGAAACAAAAATTAATGTCTTTTACTTTTTGTTACAATGTATTTACACACAGAATAAGAGTGAATACACTATTGATATCGCAATGCAGTGAATATTCTGTGCACAGAATAAGTCGAGAATTCATTCATTACTCAAACAAATATTGATTTTAATTATTTTCTTGTTATATACGGAAAAATCTCGTAACGAGTAATGAAATGTTGTTTTTTTTAATATAACACAGAATATTGTGAAATTTATTTTGCCATTAAAATCACATATTCTTCGGTTGACTCAACAATCAATAAAAACAATTTACTGTCAAATATTAAGCAAATATTACCATAAATTTCTATATATTGATATTATAGTGGTTTTCTAGCCTTGAATCCAAAGGACAACTATTGTGAATCAAATTTACCATATAATTGATGAGCAAATCAATTGTTACAAAACATTTTTGTTTATTTGTTTTTATTTGCAATTTAATGACTCGTTTTGATCGTCTTTTGTTAACTAATGAATGCATTTAATAGGTTTCGAGCAGTTATTCAATTAAAATTTGGTTTTAATTTTATAATTCTTGTAATATATTTGATTAAACAAAGGAAATGAATTCATTAAACTGAAAGCCT